ACTACTACTACTTGACGACTACTACTTGCGACTACTACTTCACAATCACTACAACAATACTACTAGTACTATTACTACACTACTACTACTACTACTTTACTACTACTACTACTACACTATAGTACTACTACTACTAACAACAAACTAACAAAATACACCTCCAGCGGGAGCACTTTATGAAAAATTAACCACTCCACACCTTTCACGCTATTCCTTATTATCCGCAACACACTAACCACTACTACTACTACACTTACTACTACTACTACTACTACTACTACTACTACTACTACTACTACTACTACTACTACGACTACGACTACGACTACGACTACGACTACGACTACGACTACGACTACGACTACGACTACGACTACGACTACGACTACGACTACGACTACGACTACGACTCCGACTACGACTACGACTACGACTACGACTACGACTACGACTACGACTACGACTACGACTACGACTACGACTACGACTACGACTACGACTACGACTACGACTACGACTACGACTACGACTACTACTACTACTACTCCTACAACTACTATTACTATTACGACCTACTCTTGCTGCTGCTCCTTTATACCTCCCCTCTCTCTCCTTTCTTACCCCTTCTCCCTCCCTCACTCGCTCCTTCGTGTCTTCCCTCCTCTCCGCCTTCCATCGCATCATGCTTATTGGCATCGCCGACATGCAAGTGCTCGAAGCACACTGCATTATGAGGAATCCACCGTCGACACGAACACCATCCTGGCCCTCTTCCCCATTATCGTCCTTAGCTTCCTCGTCCTCAGGCGAAAACCCCTCTGCTGCCCTCCTTGTGGCTCTGGCCGTCCACGTCAAAGAGGAGCCACGGCTGATGGGCTATCAGCACTCACCTCGGCCGTGGGAGGGCAATTTCAATCCTTTACTGCGATCCATCGCCTCGCGGACTCTAGTGGAATCACCTTGGAGCGAGTCACGGCGTTCCCCCAGAATCCACACAATCCAAGGCTTTGTGATGCTGCCCCTCCACCAAAACACTTCAAGAAGTAAAGCCCGCTATCAGATGCCTTGCTCACTGGTCCCTGATGGAATCACATTCGGGCAAGTGTGCATACATCATATTGGCATGATCGCCACGTGCATGCAAGATCTGGAAAATTACTCGCCTAGACAACCAAACAACAACACGAGAGAAACGGGTTCGGACCACGGGGGTGTTCCCTTCGGGGAGACGTGAGACTCGGTAAGACTCGAGTTCGACGAAGTCGGGTTGGCCTGACGGGACCATCATGCAAACGGCGAGACCCAGTCTGAAACTCGACGCGAACTCCCGATGCAAGCATTCCACGGAAGTTGGAGCGTCCAAGCCCTGGGCGCGCTCGTCAAAAAGCTAGGAGGAGGCGGAGGAAGAGGAGGAGGCGGAGGAGGAGGACGAGGGGGAGGGGGAGGAGGGGGAGGGGAAGGGGGAGGGCGAGGATGAGGAGAGACCCCGAAACAGGAGGGACACGGGTCCGGATCACGGGGGTGCTCCCCGAGACCAGGAGGGCCTGTGGGGCACGCGGCGGGCCCCGGAGGCCTGACAGGAGCAGCGCGGAGGGCCTCCGGGGCCCGCGTCCCTCGGGGCCCGCGCTCCTTCCCCCGGGGAGGCGTGGCGACTCTGTTGCGGGGACGCTGCCAGAGGCCTCGTAGACGGGGTCCGAGCAGACGGGGTCGGAGGAACGCGCCGCACCGCCGACGCATCGCCAGTGCATCGGCGACGCATCGCCGACGCACCGCCGGTACACCGCCGCCGTCGGCGATGCAGTGGCGACGTCAGCGTGCAGAAGAATGGGCCCCACATCGAGCCGCATCGCCGATGCATCGACGAGGTGCCGCGATCCTCGACCCCACCTTCTCCGACCCCATCTGGGAGGCCCAGATCTACGTCACCCAAATATAAACACAGACGCCCTGCGACGAACGTTGCTCGCACCTCCAGGGAGGGTGGCGGTGTATAAAGTGGCTGGCTCCCAGCGGTGATTTATACACCGCCACCCTCCCCTGAGGCCTGAGGCCCTGAGGCCGAGGAGCTGTCCATTGGAGGGTGTTTGTGTGTATATTTTGTGGCGGAGACTCGGGCTGGCCCGACGGGGCCGTCAAGAAAATAACGGGACTCAATATGAAATTTGACGCGAACTCCCGCTGTAAACATCCCACGAAAACTGTCTCGTCAAAACCCGGGGACGGGCCCGTCAGAAAACGTCGGCAAACTCAAATTCCGGTGATTTCTCTATCTACTTTTCCCCTACTCGTGACGTGGCTTTCGGGTCATAACTCCAGGGCACCCCCAAAACGCTTTCGGCGGTGCATCTGCTGGAGAGCATCCCGAGGGCCGAAGCTGGCGAGCCACCGGGAATCCACGAAGACGCCCAAAAACCTCGAACCTCGAGCTGCCCTGGGCTCACCCCAGACATCCGACGATATGATTCTTCAATCCTTGGCCCCCGACCCAGATCGATTCTGTATCGTTCTGAGGCCCAACAACGGCCCCCGGAGGGCGAAATCTGGGGAACAGTTTAAGAGAAGTCGCCCGCCCTGGATCGATTCTTGATTACTCCATGGCCCCGCAACGACCCCCGGAGGCCGAAATTGGAGGACAAATGTGGGACAAACTGTCCGCCCCGGATCGATTCTTGAGTGTTCCAGGGCCAAACAATGGCCCCCGAAGGCTGAAATTGCGGACAGAGGTCGGAAAAGTTGACCGCCCCGGATCGATTCTGTGTCGTCCCAGGGCCCAACGATCGGTGATGGACAGACCCCCCTTTAGCAGAACGTGGTTCAGTGAAAACGTCCTGAGGCCCAAACCTGGCGAGCGCAAGCCTGGAAAATAACGGCCACGGCGCCCTCTCGAGAACCGAAAACGGACAATTCACTAATCGACGTGTCACTGTTGGGGGTTCTGTCCACCCCCGAAACGACGGCCCCGAGAAGCTGGCTGTTGGAAAAAACGCCCGACGAAAGAATCATAATACAGCGTCGGAGATGTGGTCCTACTCTGCGCGAGGCCAGTCCGGAAGGCGCGCCTCGTTCCACGCGACCGTGGCGCGCCTGGCGACCGGGCGGTTCCTCTCTTCCTTCCCCCTCTTCATCCGTGTCCTGCTCCTTCTCCTGCTCCTCCACTTTCTTCTCCTGATCCCCCGTTTCCTCCTCGTGCCTCCTCGTGCGTCCTCCTCCTCCTCCTCCTCCTCCTCCTCCTCGTCCTCGGGCCTTCTCCTCCTCCTCCTCCTCCTCATCCTCCTCCTCTTGCTCCTCATCTTCCTCCTCTTCCGGCTCCTCCTCCCTGTCCTCCTCCTCGTTATCTTTGCCGTCCTCCTCGTCCCCTCCCCCCTCCTTTTCCTCCTTTTTCCTCCCTCCTCCTCATCCTCCTCCTCCTCCTCCTCCTCCTCATCCTCCTCCTCCCCTCCTCCCCCCGTGTTTTTCCCTCCTCCCCCTGGTCTTCCTCCTCCCCTGTTTTCCTCCGTCCCCTCCTCTCCTCCTCCTCCCATCCTTTTCCTCCTCCCTCCTGTTCCTCTCCTCCCCTTCCTCTCCTCGTCCTACTCCTCCTCCTCTTCTCTTCCTCCTTTATTCCTCTTCCTGCCTTCATCCTCGCCTCCGCCCCCGCTCCTCCTCCTCCTCCTCCTCCTCCTCCTCCTCTTGCTTTTGCTCTTGCTCCTCCCCTCCTCCTCTCTCCTCTTGTTCTTGCCTCCTCCTGCCCTCCTCCTCCTCGTTCATCCTCTGTTCCTCCTCTCAGACGCGAACTTGTCCAACCGAAATACCTGGCGGCAATGTTGGGGGGGGGGGTAGGATGGGGACGGCGAGGTGATTAACTGTACGCATCCGACCGGACCGAATTACGCGATAAAGAAAACACCCGCCATCCCGCCCGCAACGTGCTGTCAAAACCAGAGAAGCCGAGAGTGCAACTGCCGTCCGAAGTTGATCGCCAATCTCAACGGGCCCAATGACTCGCGGACCCTGGCCACGCACATCCATGATTTAAGCCGATGACGATGGTGACGGCGACCACAGCGACGACCGCGACAACGGTCGCGGTGGCGAAAATGGCGATTGCGACGCCAACTACGCTGCAGACGATAACGACAACGACGAAGACGACGGCGACACTGACGACCCGACGTGGGCGATGGTGATGCTGATATTGGCGGTGGTGGCGGCGATGGCAATGACTACGCCGCCGACGATGATGCCCATGGCGTTGATGAAGACATCCGCGCGGAAACCCAAGGATTGTTCGGATTGGAAACACGCGGTTGTCAGATGCCGTGAACCCTTGAACATATCGTGAAACATAGTTTCGCAATCATTCCGGCACACGCGCGCGCGGGAACGCGCAAACGTGACCCGCAATGCGCTACTTGGCAGGAGTTGGCCGGCGCGCGATGACTGCTGCACGAGTTTGGCACGCGCGCGCGGCCCGCATGGCGCCATGACATAGTGGACTGCAATCATGGATGTCGTAGCATTTCCGCGGGCGCGCGCGTGCACAAATCTTCTACGCCCCCGCACACAAACACTAGCGCTCGGCAACAAGTGTTCCGACAGAGTTGGGAAGTGCTGGTTTCGTAAAGATGTTGACGCGCGCGCGTGGCCCGCATGGTGCTGATTGGCACGTGTCAGTTGCAAACGGACTCGCAAGGTGCAAGCGAGCGCTGCGCGCATTATTTCTGTCAGACAGGGGCGACGGGGAACGTCGACGCGATCGGGGGCTGGGGGTCCGCGGTCAGATTGCGCCCCGGCCCTTGACGGGCCGTGAGCTAATGAATTTCTGAGAAACCTCGAATTATTGCAACAAGACACGCCTGGCGGGCACGGCGCCCATGCGCCCCTCCCACCACCGCCCGCGCGGGGGCCCTGTGGAACCTGCCGGGTCGACTTCGACGGCGCGCGCCGCGGCGGCGCTTTGCGACGGCGGCGCAGCGGGGGGGGGCGGGCGGGGCCTCCTGGACACGCGCGGGAAAGGTCGCCGGCTAGCAGCCACCAAACCCGCGGCCCTGGCGCCCGGGGGCGGGGCGCAGTCCGCGCGGCAGGCTACGCGCCGGCGGCGCTAGGAAACGCCGGTCGCGCTTTGGCGCCCAGCCGCCGCGCGCAGACCGAACGCGAGGCCCCGCCAGACGCCTTCTCCGCCGCCATTGCCAGCGGGAAGCCGCGCCCCGGGGCGCCCGCGCCCAGGGGGGCGGATGTCTTCAGGGGGTTCTAGCTTGGCCCGCCAATCATGCAAATGAGCCTGGAAGGTGGCGCAGCCCGGGCAACCGATCTCCGCGGGCGCCCGGGTGCGCTTCAGGCCGGCCATCTGCCGCCAGCGCTCCGGCGCGGAGCCTTCGCCGGCGGGGGCCCCCGCAGCCGGCGCGCGCGACCGCGACGGGCGGCAGCTCTTCTGCAGGTCCTCGCCATCGGCGCTGCCCGCGCACGAGCGGCCTTTGTCGCGGGCAAAGCGGCCCGCCGCCTCGGAGGCAGCCAGATCTCCCTCCGACGGCAGCCCGTCCTCAGGGAAACTGGCCACCCCGAGCTCAGCGACCCAGAGAGAAAGCTGGAGTGACGGCGCTTTGGCCGCCCGCTCGCGAGCAGCCGCCCGGGCCCCCAGGCGCCCCCGCATCGCGGAGGCCGGCGTGGCCTCGGGCGTCGGACAAAGCGGCTCTGCAGACCCGCGCATCCGCTCAACGCTGAGTGCGAGTGCGATCTTCGCTGGCCGCGCCGACCAAGCACAAAACGCGGAGCTCTTGCCGTCTTTGTCGCATGACTTCTCGCCGCGCTCGATTGCAGCGCTGACGGCGCCCCGCGTGGCCGGCCCGGCCTGGGCCCGTCGTCTCCCCGAGCAAACGCTCCGCGGACAGGTGCCAGAAGAGGTCGCGTTTTGCCTGCGGCGCAAGATGAACCTCCCGCGATGTCCTGCGGCGGCGCGCCCCCCAGGGCGCCCTCAGGCAACGCGGCGCCGAAGGCAGCCGCGCCCTGGCGCGCGATCGCCATGCCGACGACGTGCAGTTGCAGACAAAGACAGCGCAGCAGGCGGATGGGCGAAACGACAACTCGAGCCCGACTAACTGCGGATACGCGGCGCAGAGCACGCCCGGAACAGCAAACCTGCTTTTCCCAGGGCAGCGGCGATGCGCTGCGCACCTGGGCTGGCGCAAAATACCGAACGAGCCGCCAGGGCCCGCAGAGGCTGCTGCGCGCGAGGCGGCGGAGCGAAACGCACCTGGGCTAGCGCAGCGCCGAGCGAGCTCGCGAGGCACGCCCGAGCGGGCCCAGGCCCGAAGATAATGCCGCGTCTGGGGCGGCGGCGATGCGCAGCGCACCTGGGCTGGCACAGCGCCGAGCGAGCACGCCAGGGCTCGCTGGCGCTGCCGCGCCCGGGGCAGGGGCGACGCGCAGCGCGCCTGGGCAAGCGCGGCGCCGAGCGAGCACGCCTGGGCCCGCAGGCGCCGCCGCGCCCGGGGCAAAAGCGATGCGCAGCGCGCCTGGGATGGCGCGCCGGCGCCCCGTCCAGGCGCGGGCCGCACCTTAGGAGCCGCTGCCTTGTGGGCTCGATTTGGGCCGGACACCGCTCCTGGTCCAGGAGCTATGGATCGTTGGCTTGCCGCGCCGCACGCGGCGTCAATGCTCCGCATTGGCGATGGCGAAGAGCGCCAGATCTCGGCGATGCGCCGCGCGCCGGCCGCCGGGGCTTCCGCGCATCCTACGCTGCGAAGCCCTTGCTGCGCAGGCGGCCCCCCGGCAAAACCTACGAACCCGGGCGTTCGGGCGGCCTCCTAGCGCACCGCGCGCAGCCCCGGTGAGCTCCCAGCGCTGAGACGTGCACGCGGCCCCCCGGCTCGCTGCAGCCTGGTCGCGCAGGCGGCCTCTAGGCACGCGCAACCTGTGATCCCAGTCATCCAGCGCGCAGCGACCCTAGCCGCGCAGGCGGCCCCTGGCTCGCAAACCTGCAACATCGCGCGTCCGGGCAGCTTCGCGGCGCGCAACGCGCAGCCCAGTCAGCTCGCCCTCAGCGCTTAAATAGCCACACCGAGCAGACGGCTTCCGGGAGCGCTGCAGCCCTATCCGCAGCGAGCTCTCGGCACGAAAACCTGCGACCCCAGTGGCAGCGCCACGCTGGCCAATCAACTGACAAACCGCGGGGAGAAGAGACTTAGGGCCGCCGGCCGCGGAGCAGCCATCGGCTCGGGAGAAGACATATGCCCGCTGCAACGCAAGCCAGCCGCCCACGGGGGCAAAGCGCACCGCCGACTGAAGCCAGGAAGCCACGACGTCAAGAGGCAAGAAGGCGCATGCGAGCGCGCCCTGGAGTTCTCCTGCCCCCCACATCGCCGCGCGATTTTGGGGCTATGAAAATGCACCGCGACGGCGCTTCGGGCCTGCGCTGGACTGCGCGGAACAAACTCCATTGCAATTCCGGGCGCGGTTGTCGCCCGCCGGCGGCAACCGCGGCGCGCCCCCATGGAATGGTCGAATCGCGCCCCGATCGCGGCCCCGGGGGCGCCTGCGCCGAAAATCTCCGCGGCCGCTCTGCCCAGACAACATGTGCGACTACGTGGCCGTGTGGGGGGCCCCCCCCCCCCAACCATGGTAACATCGACTTCTCGCATCGCATTCGCAAGGCGCGCCGCGCCCAGGGGAACGCCAGGGTTTCGAGCGCCAGCTACCTGAACAGAAACGCAAGAGCACTCTCACGTCCCATGTCGCAACCACGCAGGAGAGCAAACGTCGATCACGTTCGCCCCGAGGGCAGAAGAGCACCAAGCCGACAAATTCTTCCGCGCGCCGCCACCGCATCTGAAATTCAGACAAGGGCAATCTGAAATTCAGGATGGGCCAATCTGAATGTCAGACCAGGCCAATCTGAATTTCAGACCGGGCCGACCTGAATCCTCGATGCGCAACAGGCAGCACGCCTCACCCGAGCCCCCAGGGGGGCACTCCGGACCTGGCAGGGGCAGTCTGAATTTCAGACAGGGGCAATCTGAATTTCAGACGCGGGGGGCGCCGCTCCAGACAGAAATGTGACATGATTTCCCTCCGCGACCAACCTGGGGCGAGGGAGAGGCACGGCCCCGCCGAGCCGGCGACGGCGCGCCGACGTGCAAGTCGCGCGAGCTCGACAAGAGCGCGCGCGCGTCGACGCCGAGCGCGTCGAGTCTTCGCAGCCCACGAGAAGCCCAGACACCAAAATTCATTTGAATAATTTGATCTCGGGGGTGTCTGGTGATCATGAGTCAATGAATGGGTCGGCGCCGCTGCGCCCCCGCTGGGCGAGCGGTGGGCCAGGCGCCTCCAGACGGGGCTCGACTGGAATCCACCTAGGGCCCAGCTGACAGGAGCGCCGACCCCGCAAACGGCAGAGGGTGGACGAGGGCAAGTTTCGACAGCGACGGCGACGAGAAGCAGCAGCATCCAGCGACGAGAAACCCCAGCTGAGCGCCTCTCCGTCCTACGAGAAGTCTCCCGGCCTGCGGGGCCTCCGGCTCGGCCCCACGGGCTGCTCCCCGGCTGCTGGCGATGATCAGCGATCGACCAACCAGCCAGGCGGGGGCGCGCCCGCGGCGGCGCGCCCGCGCACCTGCGCCGCGCCCGGCGCCGAGCCAACCAACCAACCAACGTGCCGAGGCAAAGAGGGAGAGCGACCCTTGCCTGCAGCGCAGCGTTCGGCAGCGAAGATAGAAACGCGGGATGACAGAACAATAAGCACATACAAGCCAAGAAGCCACAAGGCGCAGAGGCAGAGAGGCAAGCGATAGCTCGCCCCAGAGATTTTCCCGCCCCCAAGTCGCCACGCGATTTGGGAGCCATGAAAATCACTGCGGCCGCTCTTTTCAGACAGCATGGCATGGGTCGGCACTCCCGCGCCGCCGACGGGCGAAGGGGGGGCCGGGCGCCACTGAGCGGGGCCCGACTGGAATCGACCAAGGGCCCACTGCTTCCAGAAGTGGCGCGGCTGGCGCTGCCCAGCCGCACGAGCGGCTGGCGACGGGGCATGCTGCCCCGATGGCGAGCCCGGGCGCCCCTGCGCCTGAAAGCGCTTGCATCCACTTGCACTTCTGGGGGCGTCTGCGCCGGAACGCGCGCGTTCGAGCCCCAATTGCCGCGCTCGGGAGGGCGGCTTCAAAATGCGGGGAACGACGTTCCGGTTGCGATTTTGCGAACGGGGCGGGCCGATCTGGGACGCTCTTGGGCGGTGACGAGGCACTTCTGCTCGAAGTACTCAAAAACCATGGCACTCGGACCCGCGGCTGCGCGAGCGGAACGGCGCGGAGTGCGTTCTGACATTCATGCGTGGGAAATGCTACGGAGTGCCAGCGGAGGTTGCGCGGAAATGCTTGTGCGTGGATGGGGCGCGCGTTCTTTGCGGCGCTTGCGCGCTAGCTGAAACGGCGAAATCTGCCTCGCTGCCCTCGGCCACGCGCGGCGGCGCAGCGGCTGGCCGAGAATTCTGCCTCGAGCGGCGACGAAGATGCGTAGCCACGCTCGGGCGCAGAGGGTAATCGGAAAAGGGTTAGTCCGAGCGTCCTGCGTCTATCGCGCCCGCTCGGCTGCGTCCACAGTCTCGCCCAGGGCGGCTGCTTCACCCAGACTGGATGCATTGGGCCCCTGGTAGATTCCAGTCTGGGCCAGCCCGGTGGCGCCAGGTCATTCATCTCGCCCAATGTTGGCGCGAGGGCGTAGCCCAACTTCGCGGTCGAACGGCCGCATCTACAAGATGCGCCGCTCCTGACGCGCCGAAAGATGGCCCCAAGATAGCCCAAACAGAGCCCAAAAGGAACCCAGGAAGCCCCAAAACGGCCCCAAGATCGCACGAGATTGGCCCAAGAGAGCCCCAAGAAGGCCCAAAAAGAAACGATTGCGATGGCCCCGAGGCCGGCCTAAGAGCCCCAAGAGGGCCCAAGAGAGTTCCAAGAGAGCCCCAGGGGGGGGGGGGGGGGATCGAGGACCCCTCCCCTTTTTGATCGATGACTTCCAAGGTGGCCACAAGAGGCCCTTCAGAGCTCCCACGGGAACCCAAAGGGGCTCCACGAGGGCCCCAAGAGGATCCCCAAAGGCGAATTTGAGGACTCTGTCCTCGTCCTCCTCCTCCTCCTCCTCCGCTTCCTCCTCCTCGTCCTCGTCCTTGCCCTACTCGCATTCCTCGTTCTCTCTCCTCGTCGCCGTGGTCTTCGTCAACGCCTTCGTCCCCCTCTTCCTCCTCCTCCTCCTCCTTCTCCTTCGCCTCCCCTCGCCCCGACGCGGGCCCCAGGGATGGCCCGAGGAGGCCTTCCACAGCCAGCGGAGGTTGCACGGAAATGCTTGTGCGTAGTTGGGGCGCAAGTTCTTTGCGGCGCTTGCGCGCTAGCGGAAACGGCGAAATCTGCCCCGGAGCCATTCTCGCACATTGGCTATTCCGAGGCGCTGGGATTTCTCAAAGCTGGTGCCGTGGCGCTGGGATTTTCCCAGGCGCAGCACTGGGGTGCGATCGCGTTCGGGCGTGGATTTGCGAATGACGCACTTCCGTATGATGGACCTTCTGCGTTATTCTGGTCCGGGGGCTGGAAAGGCCTCGCTGCGCTCGGCTACGCGACGGCCCAGTCGAGAGGGCAGATCGCGGCGGCGCAGTGGCTGGCTGAGAATTCTGCCTCGAGCGGCGACGAAGATGCGTAGCCACGCTCGGGCGCAGAGGGTAATCGGAAAACGATTAGTTAGTTCGAGCGTCCTGCGTCTATCGCGCCTGCTCGGCTGCTTCCGCAGTCTCGCCCAGGGCGGCTGCTTGACCCTGGTAGATTCCAGTCTGGGCCAGCCTGGTGGCGCCAGGTCATTCATCTCGCCCAATGTTGGCGCGAGGGCGTAGCCCAACTTCGCGGTCGAATGGCCGCATGTGACAGATTCTCATTGCCCCCCAATCACGCAGCGATTTGGGGGGCAGGAAAATCTTCAGGTAGGCCTTTGGGCCTCTCTCTCTCAGCTACCTTGCCTACTGGCTTCCCGGCCTCTCACAGCCCGGGCGCCTTTGCGGCGCGGCGGGGGATCTCACGGCCGCGCGCTGCGGCGCGGCAGGCGGATTCTCACGGCCAGGCGCTGGATTGCAGCAGGTGGTTCTCAAGGCCGTGCGCTGCAGGGCAGCAAGCTGTTTCTTCTTCCTTCTTCCCGCGGGTTGGATGGTTGGTTGGCGGGCGGGGTGCCCTGTGGGCTCCGCTGCCGTGTTGCGCTGTGCTGGTTAATTTGATGGCTGGTCGCCGCGGATGCTGGATTGGCTCCGAGCGGATGCGTCCCGAGGGCTGTGCCACGCTGGTCCCGGCACCGCAACTGTGTCCAGGGTGCGTGTTGCAGGGCAGGGTTTGCGCCTGTTTCTTGCCAGGGCGTGCGTTGGTCTGCGCCTTTCACCCTCGCTGCTCGTGCGATTGTTGGGCGGCGCCCTTGCCAGGCTGGGCCCCTGGTACATTCCAGTCTTGGCCAGCCTGGTGGCGCCAGGTTATTCATCTCGCCCAATGTTGGCGCGAAGGCGTAGCCCAACTTCGCGGTCGACTGGTCGTATCTACAAGATGTTCTGCTTCTGATGCGCCGAAAGATGGCCCCAAGATTGCCCAGAAGGGGTCCAAAAAGGGCCCAGGAGGCCCCGAAACGGCCCAAGATCGCACGAGATTGGCCCAAGAGAGTCCCAAGAGGGCCCAAAAAGAAACGATTGTGATGGCCCCAAGACCGGCCTAGAAGTCCCAAGAGGACCCAAGAGAGTTCCAAGAGAGCCCCAGGGGGGGGAAGGGGAGGGGGAAATCGAAGACCCCTCCCCCCCTTTGATCGATGACTTCCAAGATGGCCACAAGAGGCCCTCCAGAGCTCCCACGGGAACCCAACAGGGCTCCACGAGGGCGCCAAGGATCCCCAAAGGCGAATTTGAGGACTCTGTCCTCGTCCTCCTCCTCCTCCTCCTCCTCCTCCGCCTACTCCTCCTCCTCGTCCTCGTCCTTGCCCTACTCGCATTCCTTTTTCTCTCTTCTTCCTCGTCGTCGTGGTCGTCGTCGTCGCCTTCGTCCCCCTCTTCCTCCTCCTCCTCCTCCTCCTCCTCCTCCTCCTCCTCCTCCTCCTCCTCCTCCTTCTCCTCCCCTCGCCCCAACGCGGGCCCCACGGATGGCCCGAGGAGGCCTTCCAAGGCCACCACCTTACTCCCCGATGTCGCTATGTTCACCCCGGTTGCCCGCTCTGTTTCACTACACGTGTCTCTTCGGCCCTTGTTCCATCTACTCTCATGGACAGTTTCCGAATGGGCTGGTGTGGATACTCGTTTGATCGCGAGCGCATCGGAAGTGCCGAACGCCGTCCGAAAAACGTAACAAACAAGCTACGGCCTGAACTGGTGGTGATACGCGAAGCGTGAAGAATATTCCTATGCTGATGCTGTGCTCTGTTGAATCGCTTGCTTCGTCTTGCCTCCCATCACGTGGCCTAGCATCACGTCCCATCGCCTCACCCAGTACCTCAACAATCTTGCGTTTCTGAATAATCCCACTCCTGCCCTGATATCTAACTGTCCTGCTCCTAACACGTGACACCCGCGAAATTGGTATGGGAAAAAGAAATATGTGTTCAAGCAGCAAGTGTTGTCCAAGCCCGTCAGCCAACGGCCGATGCTGGGTAGGCGACTCGTTGCCTCAAATGGACAGCGTTCGCTGCGGCACCGACATCGAGCCCTGCTCAGAACGGACCGACGGAACCTGCTCTTGCCCATACGCATTTCGATCGTGCCGAACAACGGCTCTGCCAAGACGCCTTTCATCGCTGGCTGCGTAGCCCATGTCCTGGCGCACCAAGCTCAGAGGGATGATCGACACGGTGCACACGGATCCAAGCAAGATGTATAATGGTTCCAGCATGGAAGGGCACTGCGGATGTGGGGACGGACGCCAGGCAGCCGGGGAAGACTTGGGGGCGCTTCTCAAGTCGCAAGCGCTGGCATCAAAGCAACACTGCAGCCGTTGAAACCGCCTCAGGGGCTTTACAGAAACTCCCCCCGAAGTTGCTCTCGCTGTCTCTCCTGTCACTCGCAAAAACGCGCGCGCGAAGGCATGCGCACCGAGGCACGTGAGCGGCAGGCAGGGCCGGGCAAGTCTGGCGCGATCGATCCTCCAGCCTTTCTAGAACTGGTGCTGAGGAGGGCGAATGATGATGTGCATCCACCTCCATCCGCAGATCTAGCTCAAATCGGTATGGATACGGCCCGCGCTGGCGTCAAATCCTCCTCCTCCTCCTCCTCCTTTGCCTCCTCCTTCACCTTCTCCGTCTCCTCCGTTTCCTCCTCCTGCTCTTCCATTCCTTTCCCTTATGAGTAACTCATTCCTGTCGCACCCCGAGGCCAGTCGGAAGGGAGGGCCGGGCGTTTCGCCTGAGTCTTCGTCAAAATGTATGGTGCTGAAGCTGAAATGGCAGCAATTTCACACATGTTGCTCTCGCCTTAGCCCCGCGCACACTTGTTTAAAACTTTGCAAGAGTGTCACGGGTGGAAGGCGGGCCGTTTTCAAAATGCGGTTATCGCCTTAACACCGTGCAAATTCGTCTTAACCAATTGCGCAAAACTTCAAATATTGAGGACGGGTGGTTTTCAACATGTAGCTCTCGTCCTAGCGCCGCGCACATTCCGCTGAAACATATGTTCGAGCTTCACGGATGGATGGCGGGTCGTTTTCACGCCTTAGCACCGCGAGCGCATTCGTAAAACAAGTGCAAGAGAAAGCGCAAGAGCTTCACGCATTGAAGGCGTTTTTTGTTGTTTGCTGCTTTTGTGTAAAAAAAATGGCTCTCGCCTCAGCGCCGCGCACATTCGTCTCAAACACGTGCAAGGGTGTCTCGGATTCTAACTGCTAACGTACCAGAAACAGTGTTTTGCAAGGGGTCCAGATTTTCAGTCGATTCGCAGTGTCCAAGTCCCAGGAATTATGTTCTGGCACGATTCAGAATCGTAAAGACGAGACGCAGTCAGGTTGATTCGCGGCGTTGAGGTCCAGAGAATAATGTTTTGGCACGCTTCAGAATCTTCAAACGATTGTCTCCCAATAGGGCACTTTGCTGAGTGGAACTGAATCCTTGTAAGAGCCTACGAAGAGGGAGCGTGAAGGAGGGCGTATTCCAACATCGCTGGTGAGTCTTAGCGTTGCACTGACCCTCCTCCTCCTCCTCCTCCTCCTGCCCATCCTCCCCCTCCTGCTCTTCCTCCTCCTCCTGCTCCTCCTCATCCTCCTCCTCATCCGGCGGCCTAGACCACAGCTGCTCTGCGGCGTTCTCGAGCCAGGCCGATCTGTGAAGGCCTCGGGACGCGAAACGGAACGCCGGGATTTCAGGGTTGGCTTCTGGCATCGCGTGGATCGCTCTCCCCAAGCGCTCCCAAGCACTCTCAGGTGCTCCCAGGCGCTCCCAACCGCTCCCAGGCGCTCCCTAGCGTTCCCCGGCGCTCCCCAGCGCTTTCTGGCGCTCCCCAGCGCTCACCAGGCGCTCACCAGGCGCTTACCAGGCGCTCCCCGATGACGATAACCACGATCACCACCGAGCACAGCAGGAGAAAAACATGGATCATCGTCATCGTCGTTGTCGCTATCGCTCTTTCATCGTTGTGACCGTTGTCGTCGGTGCCGCTGTCATCCTGGTTGCCGCTGCTCTCCGGCGCTCCCCAGCGGCTCCCAGGCTCTCTCCGACGGCGCAGATGTTTCGACACCGGCCGATCCCTTGCCATCGCTCGGACCGGCTTCGTGCGTGCACCTGCTCGCAGGGTGGTCCAAGCTGCTCCTCGATGGTCCTGGATGCCCGCGCCCGAAGGAGGAGGAGGACGAGGAGGAGGAGGACGAGGAGGAGGAAGAGGAGGAGGTGGAGGACGAGGAGGAGGAGGAGGAGGAGGAGGAGGAGGAGGAGGAGGAGCAGGAGGAGGAGTAGGAGGAGGAGGAGGAGATCGGCGACCTGGGCGCGCACCTCGGCGGCGAGCGAGGGGGGGGACAGCGAGAAGGAGAGGGCTTTCTCAGAAGCCCTCCAGCCTTCTGGAACGTTTCGGTGCGTCTTCGGGGGCAGGGCCTCAAGAACCCCTCAGATGGCCGGGGGACTTCCGAGCCTTCCGAGAAGGCCCGCCCCCCCTCTCACCTCCGCCCCAGGCTTGCCGCCGAGCAACCCTCCCTCCCCAGGCTAACGGTGACGATCCTACGTGCGGGGCGGGCTTGGTGCAGAGGAGCAACAATAAGCTACATAAACATAAACTGTTGGACCTCCGCGCGGACATCCGCGCTGGGCCCTCCTGCCTGGCGCGCGAAGCGCGCCAGGGGCGTCGCTGGAGGTGCCTCCAGGGGGGGGGGGGGGGGGGGGCAGCGCCGATCCAAGAAATCCGCGCGGATCTCCGAGAAATAGTGGTGATGCCGTATCGTGCTCTTCGATGGCAACCTGGAGCGCAGCCCGTGAGACTGAGCCGTTCGCGCGTCAGGGTTGCCACTTGCCGAATCGTGGGCCCGGTTTTTTTTTGAGGGGGCGGCCTCCTCCTCCTCCTCCTCCTCCTCCTCCTCCTCCTCCTCCTCCTCCTCCTGGGCCCTCTTTTTTGTCCCCCTCTGGGTGGCCCTGCCCCCCTCACCAGAAGGAACTCGGGGGGCCCTTCCTGCAAGACCTGCCCGCACGAGGCCGAGTGCACTCGGGGGGGGGGGGGGCACGCTCGGGCCTGGGCCGGGCGGCTCCGTCCTGGGACCTCGCCCCAACACGCCGGTGCCCGAAGGCATGCTCTGCTGCTCGCAACTCTGCTGCGGCTCTCGCATGCCCACCCCGGCCAAACGTTGCCGCTATCTCGCCGTCGCTCGGACGTCCATTTCCCGTGCATGTTTCGGTTTTGTGCGTGTTCTTTTTACTCGATGGTCCAGAATGGTCCTCGATGGTCGTCCGAGCGATGCCAAGCTATCCAGCCCCCCCCCACCCTCCCAGGTGAGCGACGATCAAGCACGGGTCTTGCGCGAGACGGCCTACTGGCGACCCTGCGCCGCAGCTTGCGGGGCCGCCAACGCGGCACGCCGCATTGGAGGCGAGGGTGCTTCCGCACGACCTTACGCGAGCAGCTTGCGAGCGAATGTCGGCGCAGGCGACCCCGATTTTCGGTGTTGCTCAAACACCCTGGGACATGGGGCCCAGGGGGGGTAGATCGGGCATGTCCCCCTACGGGCGGATTTGGGAGGAAAAAGGACAAATAGTCAGAACCAAAAATGCAGCATTGATCAAAGGTAGTAGAAAAATCGTCCCCCGATGAGTTCGTTAAAGCCATCTCTGAACACGCCTCCTGTGGAGGGGGCACGCCCGACTTACCCCGGGGGGCGGGGAGGCCCCGAGAGGCCCAGGCTCCACCCGGAGGCCCCGCCTCCCGTCGCCTGGGCCCGGCCCCCAGCCCCAGGCGGGGGGGGGGCGCAAGACCAACACTTGTAAGGGGCCACATGCGAACCCTACCCCTACCCCTCACGAGTTCTGAGGGGGAGGGTGGGGTTCACTTCCCTCGAGAGCTCCCGAACGAAGTGAACCCCACCCTCCCCCTCAGAAATCGTGGGGGGTAGGGGTAGGGTTCGCATGTGGCCCCCGAACTCAGGTCGGGCATGTCCCCCTACAGGCGGATTTGGGACGAAGACTAAAACAGATCCAAGAGACGATCCAAACATACGCCATGATAGTCAAAAGATCGTCCCCGGACTCTTTTTTGGCTATCTTGGAACATGTCCCCTGTAGAGGCACACGCCCGACTCGAACCAACGCGGACGGCGCGCCGCCGCGGGGGAGCCCATCCGCGTGCCACTGCTGGAGAGCCCCTGGGCCTGCGGACGAGGACAGCGGAGCAGCCCCAGAAGCAAACGGTACGCCCCCGCACCCCCGCCGCGATCGTCAGCACCCTGGCCATCGCTCGGACGTCCATTCCCTGTTTTTTTTCGGTTTGGTGCGTGGTTTTTTCGCCAAATGATCAAGGATGCTCCTCGATGGTCCTCGCCGAAAGAAAAATGCACACGTCCGAGCGATGCATGGGTAAAAGAAACAATCATGTGCTCGGCGGCACCCCTGCTGGCGAGAACGCTAACACATGACATTTAGGACATCCAAAAAAAGGTCGCCGCTCGCCGGGAACCTGGCCAACCGAGGAACGTCGAAAGGCCACGAGAATACAAGTGGGAAACCAATCGGAAACTGCCTCAACGAAACTCGAGCGCCCTCCAAGGACCTCTGGACACCGCCAGGGGAGTTCTACAGTGGAGGCCAGTGCACAAGAAAACTTCCACAAGAAACCCACCCCTGAGACCCCAGGACGTCCATTGATTTTTGGTGTGGGAACGTCACGTTTTCCATGGAAAAACAATCGAAACTCAAGAAACCCAGGGCACCCTGGAGACGAGCAGGGTGTTTTTCGCATGGGTCTCCACTGTAAGAGAGAAAGCCGGAGGGGGAGTATGCGGGGGCATGTCGCTTCCGCCCGGCCCCCGGTGCCAGAAACGCTGCAGTTTCCTCTGATGACGGGGGCGGT